GAGTGGACCGAGTTGACCGAGTTGACCAGGGTAGTTGACCGAGTTGACCGAGTTGACCGAGTTGACCAGGGTAGTTGACCGAGTTGACCGAGTTGGCCGAGTTGACCGAGTTGACCGAGTTGACCAGGGTAGTGGACCGAGTTGACCGAGTTGACCGAGTTGACCGAGTTGACCGAGTTGATCGAGTTGACCGAGTTGACCGAGTTGACCGAGTTGACCGAGTTGACCAGGGTAGTGCACCGAGTTGACCGAGTTGACCGAGTTGACCAGGGTAGTGGACCGAGTTGACCGAGTTGACCGAGTTGACCGAGTTGACCAGGGTAGAGGACCGAGTTGACCGAGTTGACCGAGTTGACCAGGGTAGTTGACCGAGTTGATCGAGTTGACCGAGTTGACCGAGTTGACCAGGGTAGTGGACCGAGTTGACCGAGTTGATCGAGTTGATCGAGTTGACCGAGTTGACCGAGTTGACCGAGTTGACCGAGTTGACCAGTTGATCGAGTTGACCGAGTTGACCGAGTTGATCCGAGTTGACGAGTTGACGAGTTGACCGAGTTGAGGGTAGTGGACCGAGTTGACCGAGTTGACCAGGGTAGTGGACCGAGTTGATCGAGTTGACCGAGTTGACCGAGTTGACCAGGGTAGTGAACCGAGTTGACCGAGTTGACCGAGTTGACCGAGTTGACCTAGTTGACCAGGGTAGTGGACCGAGTTGATCGAGTTGACCGAGTTGACCGAGTTGACCGAGTTGACCAGGGTAGTGCACCGAGTTGACCGAGTTGACCGAGTTGACCGAGTTGATCGAGTTGACCGAGTTGACCGAGTTGACCGAGTTGACCAGGGTAGTGGACCGAGTTGACCGAGTTGACCGTGTTGACCAGGGTAGTGGACCGAGTTGACCGAGTTGACCGAGTTGACCAGGGTAGTTGACCGAGGTGATCGAGTTGACCGAGTTGACCAGGGTAGTGGACCGAGTTGACCGAGTTGATCAGGGTAGTTGACCGAGTTGATCGAGTTGACCGAGTTGACCGAGTTGACCAGGGTAGTGGACCGAGTTGACCGAGTTGACCGAGTTGACCGAGTTGACCAGGGTAGTGGACCGAGTTGACCGAGTTGACCGAGCTACCTACCTACCTTTCTACCTACCTACCTACCTACACCAATAGATAGATAGATCGTACATGAACCATGCATTATATTTCAGTTCTTTAAGCCCCGTATCCGCTTATACTTTTCTAACGTATCATTTGCTCCGATATTGTTACAGCCTGGAGGAGAGATGTACTTCAGCGACATGTACGCCGACCGGGTCGTGCCGGATCGCGTCAAACAGGACAAAGTCATGTGGGGTAACGTCTCTTTTTCTTGTCGTTTTTGTTGGAATAGGAAAATATCATACACTATGTCTGTATGATATGTCTGTGCACCGAAAGTGATGAGGGGCCTAAACTGGAACCTAAGCTCCTACGTGGCCGAAGACATCTACTCTACGCTACTCTACTCTATGTACTAGTATCTGTCAAGGGAGAGACTTAATCTGGTAGAATAGGCGATACTATTGGCAAAGATAGCAATCACTTTGATTTATGTCATCTTATCTTCAAAAAAGCAAAGTTCGTGTGTCATCCACATAACGTGACATCACAGAAGCAGAATTTTATTCCTTGAACTAGAAAGGTAACATTTACATAATGTTTACCTTTACATGCGGCCTGCTCTGTTAATTCTTACTCAAACACATTCACACATATATGGTGACAGGAGTCTAAATCCCTCCTACTATAAAATTGCAACATTATGAAACCCAACACCAGTTACCATGGTGAGAGACTGTCTGGTTCAGGGCAGAGTCAGGTCACAATCCCCACTTTCTTCTTGTATTTATGAACCCAGGTGAGGGTTTCGCGGGCGCGCTGTGGTGGGAAGATCTGGTGAGTATGGCCGGGGAGGTCGGCTTCTCCACGCCCAGGCTGGTCAAGGCAGCCCCCATCAACGTCAAGAAATCCGTCCGGGAAATAACTGGTAAACTATTCCTTTTTAACTGAGAAATATAATGTATATCTAGCTGTAAATGTGCCTATGGCTGAAAACAATGTCGGGCAAACGTTGGGTTACAAAAATGATTCTATGAAAGATTTGAAAAAAATTGTCGTGTTATCGCAATGTATTGAATTCGCACCTTTGCTTGCCCATCTTCCAATGTATCACGAAAATATTCTCATTGAAACGAAATGTACGTACTGCTTATTATGTATTCATTAATATATAATCAACTAGTATTAGGAAGTAACGCCATCTGAGTACTCCTTTAATGATAGCCGATGGGTGGTCGTACAACCTTAACTGTAAACCAGTGAAAGTGATAAATGAATTTAAAAAGAAAAATCTCGTTTCTGCCCCAGGAGATGTTCAGTACGTGGCGGCGACCTACAGACTGTTCAAGGTCACGCAGAACGGAAACAGTGTGACCTCTGACGTCACCTACAACGGCTCCGTCACCGGACATGACGTCACCATCGCTCTGGACAAAAACAGCACCTTTCAGGTAAAAAGTAAAAGTGGATTCATTCCTCAAGCTACCGACATCTATCACACAACAGTCGTCCATTAGCAAGACATCTGGAGCCGCATAGTTTCCGTTTGTATTATAAACTGACTGAATAAAAGTTTTAAACGGGAACTATGCGGCTCTCTACTTTATGCCACAACTTCCAAGTAAAGTCATTACCTTTTGAACAACAATTCGTCAGTATCTTATTTCCTGGTAGGTCCCAGCGTTGTACCATTAAAATTGGGAAAGCCAGTCAATTAGCTAGGTAACACTCAGGTGAAAATGAGTGCCTAGCTTACATTGTAGGTTAGCTGGCCGAACTTGCAAGAATACGCTAACAGACAATATATGTACTGCACGCCGCATAATATCGCACGATGCTGCTTCTTAGGTAAATAAGAACCATTAGAAGAAACTAACAAACTGTATTCACGACATTACAGGTTGGTTCTGTGACTGAGGTTGACTCGGAGCTCTCTGCCATTATCCAACAGTCCAGGTTTGCTTCGGCTTTCACTGTTGTAGCAAGCAAGACCGCGGATGGAGAAAAGGTAGTTCTAACAATTATAGCTTGCTACATATGGCTCCTAAAACTACTTCCTTAAAGTTGTGAAAACAAGTCTGTTTGCTTGAAAGGTTAACCACTTTAAATCATGTAGATATATGTAGGTGTCTATGTTGGTTCATGTTACAAAAATGGTAACGATTGTAGATGCATGTGCGCAATTATACTAGTATTCAACTTATACTAGCAACATTTTGCCTTTACTCAATACTTTATCGTTTCATATTTTTTTACAGACCATCCCAGTGAACCCATTCGCTGGTACCACGCGCACGGCCGCCTAGATGGGAACATTTAAGTTTTACTGCCACGGCTGTCATTTCAAAACCAAGACAATAAAAATGTGCTGTTCTTTGGAGATGACCTTAGAATGTGTGTTATGTAAAAGGATTATCTGTATTATCTTGTATGTTTTTGAGTAGAAGGTGTTATATTAGCAACTTTTGCTTTTTGCCCAATATTCAATAAATAAAAAAAATAAATACAAGAATCCTCCGTGAAATTTTATATTTTGCAACAAAAATAATCCCAAGCGTCAACGCCAGACCTACTGTGCAGACATTAGGCAACGGTTAATACAATGAGTTCGCGTCACAATGATAAAACATAAAAAGACCCAAATCCATTACTGCTCCTAGGGCGTGTAAAGATACTGTCCTTCAAGTTCGAAGTTCATTTTAATTACACACACACAATCATTTCATTCACATAAAGATCTGACTATCATTATCTATCATGGTCGTGTCACTAGTAACAAAGACAGCCCCACCGTCTTACCGTGCCTGTTACTTATTAAGCGCGACTGGCCATGCGGCCAGCACGCGCGAGTTTTACTGCCGCCGGTCAGATACCCGGGCAAAACCATTTCAACGACATTATAGGGATGTTTCAAAAATAAGCATTTACTCCAATATCAAAACTGCTAGGGTAAAAATAAAAAGACGTGCATCACCACGGGCATAATGGCACACCACATGCCAAATTACACAGAAATGCTACGTACGGAACAATGCGTTTTGGCTGCGAACATCCATGGTACCACCTATCGACCCTCCGCACATCTGCATGAAGTTCCACCCCCCCCCCCACTGCTATTCCAAACGCGTTTTTCTGGACCATTCCAATTCGCCTCGTAATTGTAGGGGTGCATCTGCAATATTACATTGACCGCGAAAGCAGCAACGGCAAAATACACATTCGTGCATCAACACGGGCATGTCCGCAGACGGCGTATAAAATTGTTTGCCGATTACACAAAGAGAACCCAGTGTTTTGACTGCGAACACGAAAAACCAGCCGTTCACAACACTCCGTCCGGAGGTCCTGACCTCCTTCACGGAGTAATAAAAAAATTACGGTTCTCAGTGGCCAATATTAGATGTTGTCACATCGGCGCACCAAATCCGTAAGGTGTTTTTGGCACCCTGACAGACAGATTAGCCTAAGAGGCTCGGTGGGCGTCACTCCACCGTATAGGTGGGGAAGTCGTGTAAAGTGCCTTTCCGAAGGGCACAACGTCGGGCCACGGTGAGTATCGTCCGGTACTCTTCATCAGCACATTGTACTGATGAAGAGTACTGGAGGGTACTCGAAACGTTTGCACATTAAACTTTCAATTATCCAGTTGGAAAAGACTTAACAACTTTATCTATTTATATTGTAATAAGTTTGCTGCCAACTATTACAACATCCATTTGTCACTTGCTGTGGACTTAGGTTTCTAATCTCCTTGGTTAAGTAACTGAAGAAGAAGAAGAAAGAGAAGAAGAGGAAGAACCGTAGTTCCTCATTCGCGTGTAAATCTTCCACTCAGCAGCGCTAACTTACGGATGTTACTATCACTGCATGGGGATCGAAAGTTTCCCGCGAAACATTGCGCGTCGCGGGAAATTCAAGATGGCGACTACTCAATTTGAAGTTCTGACGTCGACTAAAAAAATGCCTCCAAAAATGGTTTTCTATTGCGTTATTGCGGTAAGTTTTACACAAAAATGTATAGGAAAGGTTTTAGAATGTCCCGAGCACTAAGAGACGGCATAGTTTGAGACTTTGGTGGAAAAACAGAAGAGTTTGGAAGCGATTCAGAACAGTAAGCAGGAGGGGCGGCCATTTAAATTAAAGTTTAAACGTAAATAGAAAATATCTGTATCTGTATAGCCGGTATACGCGGTATAACCGCTCTTCGGCGTAACACACCAGCTTCTGTATTTGTATAGCCGGTATAACCGCTCTTCGGTGTAACACACCAGCTTCTGTATCCGTATAGCTGGTATAACCGCCCTACCGAGTAACACACCAGCTTCCGTGTATCTGTATAGCCGGTATACTAGTAACCGCCCTTCGACGTAACAGCTTCTGTATCTGTATACAGTCTTTCGTGTATTTTTTAATACATATAGTATACATTTATTCATAAACGTTGCATCCGTAATCACCACTGCTAGGGTTTCTAAAGAGTCAAAATCTTGAACTTGAGTACCGACTCTGAATCGAGTACCATAATAATAATATTCTTGCCATATTAATAATGTGTCAAATGTCAAAACCATGAAGATAAGGGGTGGAATAAGGTGGTCATATTTATTATTACAATACAAGGAGGTTAAAAATCATGATTTTCAACCTCAATATAAGGATGGGTCTCATCCTTTTGGCAGTGGGTCTCAGTGTGTGGGTGTGATGCCACCAAGTCTGGTACGGATAGGCACCCAAATTACATGCCTTGTGTACATCCTATGGAAGCTGGCATTATATATTTACCTATATGCTGTATTATGTATACATCTACCAGTGCCTCCTTCCCCAGTGGGGGCTTAAATTTCCATAGAGTATGGTGAGGGGAACACCAAGAGCTGTGAGCTAGCTCCAAGGCATGGTGGCAGACGAGTTTGGCACGAGAGCGTCGGATCGCACTTGAATCTTGCGCGGGTACGTGTCAGACCGGGGGCAGCCGGTGGGGTTAGAGGTCAGCTATCCCCTTCCCTACCGCGGGCGGCTTCTGCGCAGGACCACACACAGAAATGTTGTGGTAATTTGCATATTTGTGGTTAATTTGCATATACGGTACAGAGCACATACTGCAGTTGAGGCTGTACATGGGGTTAGTAGTTCCTAGTATCCCCTTCCTCCCTTGGGCTCTGTGAAAAACAGTAAAACCCCAAAAGAACCCAACTTTGAACGGTCTAAATTAGACTCTTCAAAGTTGGGTTCATTAGACTCTAATGTGAATGTAGTAATAGATATGAACACCTCACTCCATCCCTCTGTCTCTATGGTTTTGACTTTTGGCACGTTTTGGCAATTGTGATATGGATTTTGACTCCTTAGATTCCCTCCCCCCCTGAAGGTTTAAGGTTGATCAGTGTAATAGAGCTAGCTGCCGCCACGCTGCGTGCCTGCGAAGCTGGTGTGTTACGCCGAAGCACGGTTGTACCGTCCAAAGACTCTAAACCAATACTGAAGCTGGTATGTTACGCCGAAGGGTGGTTATAACTTATACTGGCTATACAGATACAGAATCTGGTGTGTTACACCGAAGGGTGGTTATACCGGCTATATAGCTACAGAAGCTGGTGTGTTACGCCAAGGGGCAGTTATACCAGTACAAATACCTGTACAGAAGCTTGTGTGCTATATGCTGAAGGGTGGTTATACACTGTATATAGTGGTTATACACTGGCTATACAGATGCAGATATCTTTGTCTTGTGATTTGCTTTTAATTTTTTTTATGGACGATTTCCAGTCTGGTTTGTTCTTGGTGTCATACTCCTGCATTGATTCCCTACCTGACCATTTCTATTTTCTTTCCCTCTGTGATTTGTATGCCTGGGAGGATTTCCATGCCACCACCTGAGCCTGTACAACACGAATGTTGGACTGCCAGCAAGCCTCAGCATCCATGTACAAGTAGGTCTAACCTTCCATAGACTGGGGACAACAGATGACGATGAACCATACATTCAGGACTCCATAGTAACCAGCTTGTTGCAGAGTCACTTTAACTATTAGTAGTACCCTGATGATCTGCAAGTTTGTTTCAAGTCCTTTCATTCATTCATTCATTCATTCATTCATTCATTCATCCATCCATCCATCCATCCATCCATCCATCCATCCACT